GGCTGGACTCTCTGGGTTGAGTGGGAGAGGACCAGTGCCTCACATGGCAATAGTCTGCTGTTTCTAGGTGATGGAGGAAGGGATTTATGTGATCAGCAGTCAGGAAGGAGGGTGAAGCTTGATCAAAAGGTTAATGCAGAAATGCTAAGGCTAAGTTGCACCTACAGCCCTTGCTGGGTGGGGAAGGATGTGCCTTCTAGTGCCCCCATGAACACAGAGCATGAAGGGTGTGGAGGAAGCTCCGTGCTCAAGGAGCGTCTCCTGTGCTGAGCTGGTCCAGCCCGGGCAACTCTGGGGCCCTTAGGTTTTGTTGACAGAGCACAGCAGGAACTTTAGATATGAGGCCACAGAGGATCAGAGCGACTTGTATAAGGTCACACAGGTTGAGGACTGAGCCTGACGAGTACTGCAATCCCTATCTTTTCTCTCCTCTACACTTTTCCTTCAGAATAATGAACTTCCTGGGTCTCAGTTTAGACTATTTTTTAGAAGTCCTCTAACTGTTCCTGATGAATGAAACAGCTGTTTGGAAGTTGAGGAGTGTGTGCGGAAGTTGAAGGCACATCATTCTTTCTTTTGTTGGCCCTTGGGAATGGTGCGCTCAAGTGATGGTATCGATGGCTGAGCATCATTCAGCATTTCTGCAGCTGGGCGCACCCATCCCTACTTCCCATAGGACTTGGTGGTCGATGTTGCTCTGAGAAACATTTTCCAACAGTAATCCGTAGCAAAGATGGGGATGGCTCTGTAAGTCCCAGCATTAAGTACTTCATCTTTCACTCACCATTTCTGTAAGCCACACATTCATTAAACTTCCCAATTTGTGGGTTGGAGCTAAGGAGGCCCCATGGTGGAGTGAGACTCCTACCGAACGCATTATATAAATGGGTCCCAAGTGCAAATTTCTTAGTTTTTTCTCTCTTTTCTGGACACCAGGGTTCTTCATGATTTGTATCGTCAGAGCATCTTGAATCGTTACTAACATTAGGGGAACAAGAGAGAGCAGAGAGAAGTTGTAAACAAGGGAGACTAATGTCTTTTCAAAAATGCGCTAGGAGGGTGAGTCTTATTGGTGGTTTAGTTCCATCTCTAGATGAACTGATTATTCATAAGATGGAGAAATAAAATGGTTTGCCTCCTATGACAACTGTCAAGTATATGTTTTCCTCTGAGGCTTGCTTTCCCTTTTTGTTCCGTAGGTCTATCTCCCCCGTGGTTGTGGCCATGTCTGGAACTGCTGGTCCTCATGCCAAATACTTGGAGGGAGGAAGACACGTTCTTTGGTGACACACCCAACTTGAGTGCCAATGCAGGGCAAGTCCCCCTCCATCCACCCCACTGGCTGTCACCGTTACTGTTTTCACACAGGTCTTCTTGGAAGGAGAAAGCCACAGCTGGTGAGCCTTGGTTGGCTGAGCCATGTTGAAGACGTTGATTCTGTGTGTACATAAAAATGAGGTTTGATTGACATGGAAATGTCTGAGGGTGACAGTCATTGTCACTTCTTCCCTCCCCTTCCTTGGTTCTTCTGAAACTGGGAAACTTTTTCAAATGGAGCCTCTCTCGGAGGCAAATGGATGTCTTATTTCCATATGGAGTAGACGTGGCTATTGTCATCCCTGGAGAAGGAACTGAGTATGAAGCCCTCTCTATACAGGACTGAATGTGACATCTAGGGGTAGATTTGAGTCATTCACATGTATAACTGTTGTGAAAT